TCCCTCCTTTTTTTTCTTTTCCCACTTTTTTTCTTCTTCTTCCTTCTTTTTTATTTTCTTCTTTTCTTCCCTCTTTTTTATTTCTTCTTCTTCTTTCTTTTTTTTTTTTCTTCTTCTTCTTCCCTCTTTGTTTCCTTCTTCTTCTTCCTCTTTGTTTTTTCTTCTTCTTCTTCCCTCTTTGTTTCCTTCTTCTTCTTCCCTCTTTGTTTCCTTCTTCTTCTTCCCTCTTTGTTTCCTTCTTCTTCTTCCCTCTTTGTTTCCTTCTTCTTCTTCTCTCTTTGTTTCTTCTTCTTCTTCTTCCCTCTTTGTTTACTTCTTCTTCTCTCTTTGTTTACTTCTTCTTCTTCTTCTTCCCTCTTTGTTTACTTCTTCTTCCTTTATCTCAACTATTTTCGTTAGTATCACCATTTTTTTAGCTAACATTAAATTATTTTATTTTATCCTCTTTGTTTTATCTTCCTCTCCTTCCTTCTTGTTTCTTCTTCTCTTTCTTCGTCTTGAATTTTTTCTTTTCCATTTTATTTCCTTTTCTTCTAATTTCTTTTTTTTCTTCTTCTTTCTCTTTTTTTTTTTCTTTTTTTTTTCTAATCTTTTTTACTTCTTCTTCTTCCGCCATCAAACTTCACAATTCCTTCTTCTTCTTCCCTCTCCCTTTTTCTTTTCCTCTAAATTTATACTTCCTTCTTCTTCTTCATATTTAAATGATCATAAAATCTTTTCAGCATTTTCCTAAACTTTTGTTTTCCCCTTGGACAAAAATTATCTCCCTTCTTCTTCCCTCTTTGTAAAATTCTTCTTCTTCCTTCTTTGGACCAGACTCTTTTTGGCTTACTTTTTTGGTCTTTGTTTCTTCTCTTCTATGTCTCCTTCTTCTTTTTTGTTCTTTATCTTCTCTCTTCTTTACTTCTAATTCTTTTCATCTTTGAAAATCTTTTTTCATATTTTGTTAGTAACCAAATTTCTAACATTAAATTCTCACTTTTATTCATATCTTAGTTCAATGCAGAACTTTCCTCTGTCAGCCATATTAATCTCTTTATCTGATTCAATCTGTTTATTGCTATCAGTCTTATGTCTGTATATATATACTTACCTATCAAGCTCTCAATTCTCTCCCCATTCCTTCTAATCCTTTTAAAATATGATAAGTTAATTTTTTTTCAATCTCTAAATAACAAAAAATTTTGGTGGATTCTTTGAAATCTTTCTGTCATCATATGTAATTTTGTTCTCAAAATTTTTTTTTTTTTTTTGGCTGTTTCTCACTATTTCTTTTTGTATTTGCTGTCATCAAAATTTCTCTGGGTCACTTTTAACTTTTGAAATTCTCTTTCCTGTTGCTTTTCCCATTACATTTTTTTTCTTTTTCTAAATCTTTTTTTTTTTTTCTTTTTCTAGATCTGTTTTTTTTTTCCTAGATCTGTTTTTTTTTTCCTAGATCTGTTTTTTTTTCCTTCTTTTCCCAATATTTTTTTTCCTTCTTTTTTTTTTTTTTTTTTTCCTTCTTTTCCCCAATTTTTTTTTAATTTTTTAAATCTGTTTTTCTTTTTTTTTTTTACATTTTTTCCATAAAATTTTTTTTTTTTTTTTTATTCTTTTTTTTTTTTTTCTTTTCCTTTGTTTTTTTGCTAGATTCAGTTTTTATTTTTATTAATTTTTTTTTTGACATTTTTTTTTTATTTTTTTTTTTTTTATTGATTTTTTTTTTTTTTATTTTTTTTTTTTTGATTGTGATTGTTTTTTTTATTTATTTTTTTTTTTTCCTGTTGTTTTGATATTTTTTTTTTCTTTCTTTTTGCTGATTGTGATATTTTTTTATTTCCTTTCTTTTGACAATTGTGATTTTTTTTTCCTTTCTTTTTCTTTTACTATTTTTTATTGATTTCTTTTTTCTTTTTAATTTTATTTTTTTTTGATTTGTGATTTATTTTTTTTTTCCTTTCTTTTTGCTGATTTCTCTTTTTATGTCTTTTCTGGGCATTCTTTTTCCATTTCTTTCTTAAAAAATTTTATCTTCCTTTGCAGATCTCTGTCAGCTATTGAGTGCCACTATTTCTCTTCATATCTGTCTCAGAATAATTGGTACAAGAACACACTTTCTCACTTTCATAGCTTTTTAGTCTCCATTCCTCTTCAGTCTGTTCACATAGATATATTTCTATTTTTAGAAACTTATCTCTCTTTCTTTAATAAACAATCTTCTAACTTTTACTGTTTGCCTTATCAATTTCTTCATCTCTCTTTCAGAGTGTATTTTTAATTTCTTCATCTCCGTATGTTAACATCAGTATTTCTATTGCTCGTTTCTCTTTTGATAATCTTTTATCTCAAAAAATGTCTGTTGCATTTTCATAGGTGCAAGGCTTTTACCCTTTCCTGTTCATATCATTCAAAGTTTTCTTTCTTTCTCTTCTCACTCACTCACTTTAACTGATCCACATTCTCTATTTCTAAATCATTTCCCCTTTTACTTCTTCATAAAGAAATGTATTTGTCTTTCACCTCTATAACATTTCACTCTTGGATTCCCTACCTGTGAACAGGCAACTATACTTGAGCAATATTTACAAGAATTTTAATATATATATATAATTCTATCCTGGGTAGGACTATAGACTACATCCAGCAGTAACTGAGATACTGAAAGTTTTTAGGAGCCTGGAATTACCTCTTAATTGTTGCTTTTCCTGGATTCACCATTATCCAGACTGGTAGCACCTGTTAGCGTTGTAGCTCTGGGCAAATAGTGAACCCCAACCTGGGGTCAAAATACTATGAAAGTATTAAAATTCATTTTTATTGTAAAAATACCAGCAGTGAATTTTAATATTAAAAAAAAAAATAGCGCAATAAGTTTTAATGGTAACAAAATTTCAGCAATAGATTTTAATCATAAAAATATGAAAAAAGTACATTTTAATTGTAAAGCATTTTCAGTAATAGATTTCGATAGTAAAAAAATTCCGGCAATAGATTTTAATGGTAAAAAGCAAATTACCACAGTTTCCTAGAATATGAAATTTTGATATTGAATGACCCATAAGGAGTTGATATGCTGTGAAATAACCAAACCAAACAATATATAATTTGACATTAGTTATATAAAAATATTTTCAGGTGAATATGTTTTAATTTTATAATAATTATGTCAGATTATAAAAAGAAATGTAATCCATTTTTTTTTTTTTTTTTTTTTTTTTTTTGAATACCTTTCAAAGCTTTAAGACTGGAATATTTTTTTTAAATACCTTTTTATTTTTTGTATATATTTTTTGTATATATTTTTTGTATATATTTTTCATTCTTTTATACTAAATTTCCTTCAATATGAGACTCATGATCCACTGAAGACAGAGGATTACTGTTAAAATAATTATAGGTCAGGAGGATAGATAATGATTAGCCCTTGGCTAAAACAAGTTTAAGAATATAGTTTTCAGGGAATTACCTACAATGCAATCTGTTCTACAAAGTAATATGTCTTAGACAAAAGTTCTTTTATAGAATTTGTGGGTTTTAAACTGGCTGCAGTAAAAAGAACAAATCTGTTTTTGAACTTAATTTTTTCTTTTTTTCATTCCATTAACATGCAAAATTATGTCCAATAATTAGCAGTTTTTGCCTTATGAAATCTTAAAAGCTTCATTGCCTTGGTAGTGTTGCTCGATTTTTTTGCATTCTGATTTAAATTTTTGTTTTTACAATGAGAAATGTACATGATCTTTTTTAAAAATTTTTTTTTCTCCCTTTTTTTTTTTACTCTCGCCTTTTCCTTTTTACTCTCGCCTTTTCCTTTTTACTCTCGCCTTTTCCTTTTTACTCTCGCCTTTTCCGTTTTTACTCCCGCCTTTCCCTTTTTTACTCCCGCCTTTCCCTTTTTTACTCTTGCCTTTTCTCTTTCACTTCTCTGCTTGCTCTCTCACTTTCTCTTCACCACTTTCTCCTTCTCACCTTTCCCTTTTTTTCCTCTCCTTTTTTTTCTTTTTTCCTTTTCTTCCTTTCTTTTTTCTCTCTTTTTTTTTTTTCTTTTCTTTTCCTTTTTCTTTTTTTCTCTTTCCTTTTTCTCTTTTTTCCTTTTCTTTCCTTTTTTTTTCTCCATCTTTTTTCTCTTTCTTTTTCTCTCTTTTTTTAAATTTTTCTTTTCTCTTTTCTCCTTTTTTCTTTCTTTTTCTCTTTCTTTTTTCTTTTTTTTTTTTCTTTCTTTTCTCTTTCCTCTTTTTTCTCTTTCTCTTTTCTCAAAAATTTTTTTTTCAATTTTCAATCTTTTCCTTTGTTTTAAAGTTTTTCATCTCAATTTTTTTTCCTTTTTCTTTTTTCTCCTTTTTCTCTCATTTTTTTCTTTATTTTTTCTTTTTTTTTCTCTCCTTTTTTTTTCCTTTTTTTTTTTTTCTCTTTTTTTTTGAATGATCATTTTTCATTTTTTTTTTCTCTATTTTCTTTTTCTCTTTTCTTTTTTTCTTTCTCTTTTTTCTTTTCTTTCATTTTTTCTTTCTTTTTTTTCTCTGAAATTCAATTTTTTTTTTCTTTTTTTTTTAATCTTTGGGCTCTCTCCCTTTTTTTTTTTTCTCCTTTCCATGTCTTCCTTTTTTTCTCTTTCATTTTTTCTTTTTCAATCTTTTTCAATTTTAATCTTTTTTATCTCTTTTTTGAATATTTTTCTACTTTTACTCTTTTTCTTCTCTTTTTCTCTTTTTCATTCTCCCTCAATTCTCTTTAAAAGTTTTTTCAAATTTTTTCACTCTCTTTTTTTCTGGAATTTTCTTTCTTTTTTTCTTTCATTGTTTTCCTCCATTGATTTTTGCTTCTTTTCAAATTTTTTATTTTTTTTTTTTTTTTCAATTTTTCTTTTCCTTCTTTTTTTTTTTTTTCAATTATTTACATTCTGCATTCTTTTTTTTTTATTTTCCCTTTCTTTCATTTTCATTCTTCTTTAATTTCTCTTTCTTTTGAACCTTTTTTTTTCTCTTTTTTCTCTCTCCCCTTTTTTCTTTTTCATTTCCATGTCTTTTCTTTTGTTTTTTTCTCTCTCTTTTTTTTTTCTCTTTCTTTTTTTCTCTCCCCCTTTTCTCTTTTTTTCTCTAAAAATTTTTTTTTTCTTTTTCTCTTTTTTTTTTTCTTTTTTTTTCTTTTTTTCTTTTTTTTTTCTCTTTTCTCTTCCCCCTTTCTTTTTTTTTCTTTCCCCCTCCATTCTTTTTCTCTCTCATTTTTTTTTTCTCTCTTTTTCTTTTTTTTTTTTTTTTTTTCTTCTTTTTTTTCTCTCCCTTTTTCTCTTTATTTCTTTTTTTTTTTCTTTCTCTTTTCTTTTCTTTCTCTTTTTTTTCTTTTTTTTTTTTTCTCTTTCCCCTCTTTCTTTTTCTTCCCTTTTCTCTTTCTCTTTCCTCTTTCTCTTTCTCTCTCCCCTTTTCTCTTTTCTTTTTTTTTTCTTTTTTCCTTTTCTCTTTTTTCTTTTCTCTCTTTTCTTTTCTCTTTTCTTTTCTCTCCCCCTTTTTCTCTCTTCTTTTTTCTCCCCCTTTTTCTTTCTTTTCTCTCTCTTTTTTCTCTTTCTTTTCTCTCTTTTTTTTCTTTCTCTCCCTTTTCTCTTTCTTTTCTCTTTCTCTTTTTTTTCTCTTTTCTCTTTCTTTTCTCTTTCCCTTTTTCTCTTTTTTTTTCTCTTCCCTTTTCTCTTTCCCTTTTCTCTTTCTCTTTTCTCTCTCCCTTTTCTCTTTCCTTTTCTCTTTTTTTCTTTCTCTTTCTCTCTCTTTCTTTCTTTTTCTTTCTTTTTTTCTCTCCCTTTTCTCTTCCCTTTTTTCTCTATCCCCTTTTCTCTCTTTTCTTTTCTTTTTTCTCTCTCTCCCCTTTTCTCTCTCCCCTTTTCTCTTTTCTCTTTTCTCTCTCCCCTTTTTCTCTTTCTTTTTCTCTCTCTCTCTCCCCCTTTTCTCTATCCTTTTTCTCTCTCACTTTTCTCTTTCTTTTTCTCTCCCTTTTTCTCTATTTTTTCTTCTTTTTTTCTCTCTCTCTTTTTTCTCTCTCTCTTTTTCTCTCTCTCCCCTTTTTCTCTCTCTCCCTTTTTCTCTCTCCCCTTTTCTCCCTCTATTTTTTTTTCGTCTTCTTTTTTCGTCTATCTTTTCTTTTTCGTCTATCACTTTTTCGTCTATCACTTTTTCGTCTATCACTTTTTCGTCTATCACTTTTTCGTCTATCACTTTTTCGTCTATCACTTTTTCGTCTATCACTTTTCTCTCTCTCTCCCCTTTTTTCTCTCTCTCTCCCCTTTTTTTCGTCTATCTCTTTTCTCTCTCTCTCTCCCCTTTTTGTCTATCTTTTTTTCTCTCTCCTATTTTTTCGTCTCTCTTTTTCTCTCTCTAGTTTTTTTTCGTCTATCACTTTTCTCTCTCTTTTTTTCTATCCTTTTTTCTATCACTTTTTCGTCTCTCCCACTTTTCGTCTATCCCTTTTCGTCTCTCCCATTTTTCGTCTATCTCTTTTTCGTCTATCCTTTTTCGTCTATCACTTTTTCTCTCTCTCCCCCTTTTTCGTCTATCACTTTTTTCGTCTCTCTCTCCCTTTTTCGTCTATCCTTTTTTCTCTCTCTCTCTCCGTCTATTTCGTCTCTCTCTCCCCTTTTCGTCTCTCTCTCCCCCTTTTTCGTCTCTCTCTCCCCCTTTCTCGTCTCTCTCTCCCCCTTTCTCGTCTATCACTTTATTTTCTCTCTCTCCCCCTTTCTCGTCTATCACTTTATTTTCTCTCCTCTTTAAAAGTCTCTTTTTGTCCTCCACCCCCACATATTTGCTTTGTTTTCTCTCCATTGATTGGTTGTTCACTCTATTTTTTTTTTCAACATTTTTGTTTCTTTTTCTTTTTTTTTCCCTGCCTTATTTTATTCCTGCCTTTTAATATCTCATTCTCCTCACACGTCACCCTCTTGTTTTATTTCTCTTACTTTATTTCTCTTACTTAAATTTTTCTATGTTCACCTCCTATTCTGTTTTTCATTCCTCTTCCCCTCCACTCTCTTTCTCTCTTTAATAATCTTTTTCTTTTATCTTTTTTCTTATTTACTTTGTCAAGCTGTGAGGGATTTAAAAAAAAAAAAAAGAATTTTCCTGTTACAATCTTTATGGATTTTTCAATTGATTTTTCTTCCCACCCCACTTTGATTTAATCTTCTCAGAAGTGATAATAAATCCCACAATCCTGTCTGCAATCATAAGAGGCAATGAAAGGACTGTTTAATTCATAGTATATTTTTTTTTTTATGACATGAAATTTTCTCAATCCAGAAGAGACCAATCAGTTTCGCTATCTGTGGAATAAAGGTGTCATTGAGTTTAAGGGTTTTTTGGTTTTTTTATTTGTGTTCTTCTCTTAGCATCTGACCTTTTACCTCTCTCTGTCTCTTTCATTCATTCTCTGTCTCCTTCATTCATTCTCTTTTTACTTCATGTCAGATGATTTTTATTCATAACACTATCCTTTTTTTCTTTCTCCAATTTTTTTTCTTTCTCTCTATTAATTCTATTTTCCTGATTACTTTTATTTTCTTTCTCTCTGATCTCCATTTCTTGTCTTTTTTCTTCTCCCTCAAATATTTTCCTATTTTCTTTGGCATGTGTCACTGGGAACAAGACAGCTGTTTTGTGTTCGGCCATTTGCCAATATGGCTGCTCTCTGTTTGACTAACCAAAAAAAATATCACAGGTAGTAATAATTTCCTAATGATAATGATAATTTAAAGAAATAATGATAGTAATTATATTATTTAGCCTTGAATTATTATTATTAAGACAAACAAAAAAAAAACAAATGGAATATTATTGCAAAGTATTTTGGTTGATGGATATGTGATGTTGTAGCAGGATGACTATATCATTGCATTCAACTCTTCTCCTGACACCAAACTGACCATTCGTATCTAATTCGGTGACAGTTATGATAACGCTGAAAAATTCTGCACTGGTTAATTGTAAAATCAGAATATTTTCTGGTAATATATATATATATAATATATATATATATATATATATATATATAGTTAGAATAATCTTTCTGGAATTTAATATAATGTTTTTCTCTCCTCTTTACCTTTTTTCTCTCCTTAATGTAACATAGCAAAGAAAATATTTCCAGCATTACCTTACGACATTGCAGGCTCATTGTAGGGAAACTACATCCAGCAGTAAGGCCTCTGATCGGTAGATTGGATTTTTTGTGGAGCGTGGAATCACCTCTTAATTGCTGTTGTTCCCAGATACACCCTAACCCGAGGTGGTAGCACCTGCTAGGATCCCAGCTATGGGTAAATAGCAAAAACAAAACACTATGAAAGCATAGAAATACAATTTTATAGAATGACTAACAATACATTTCATCTGTAGTTGAACGTATACAATTGTGTTTAAAATATATTTAGTTAAAGCCATAAAATTAAATTCAAAATATTTAGATTTTGGCATTAAGTAACCCCTAGAGGTTGTTATACCACTAAACAAAATCAACCAACCAACATATAAGAACTCTTTCATGACATTAATCCATATAATATCCAAAAACTTAAAGAAATGAAACTGTATCAAAAATATTACTTCAACAAAACTACAACATAAAACACGCCTCTCACCCTTTCTAGTAATCATGTCCCCACAGACATGCACACAACCTGAGTATCACCTACCATGTATTCAATTGTGAAAGTAGAATTCAAAGCTTCCTATAAAATTAAATTTTTTCATTAAATGATCCTTAGAGTTGATATGTAACCTATACGTAATATTGCAGATATAGAGTAGCATTATTTTGTTAGTTTATTACCAGCAATACATTTTTGAAGCAAAAAACTATTACCAGCAATAAAAATCTTGTCGGTATTAAATAGTCCATTGAGGTTGATCTGCTGTAAACCAAACCAAAATCTCATGGTTGGAGGAAGGATGAATCAATTTTTTTAGTTGGTGTGCACAGTATTTTAATTTCCTTGATAAAGTTCTACTGAATGAAGAGCGATAACCTGTTAGCTCAAATTACAATATTATCTTTTCGTTTGTGACTGATGCTAACCTTCAGGTGAGCAACTCAATGGACTTTCTGGCCTCACTTTTTCTACTGACTGGAAACAGAATTATTATATTGAATCAATTGCTAGATTTGCTGCTAGGAAAGTTGGTTCACTATGTTGTGATAGACAAGTTTCAATCCACAATTCATCTCGAACATTTTTAAATCTAACATTCATCCGTGCATTGAATATTGCTGGCATATCTGGTTTCTTGATAAAATTCAAAGAATTGTCAGTCATGTTATCATTCCGGGACCAACATCTTGACCAGTCATTTTACCACACTTTTTTTATAAATATTTTTATGGCAGTTATTCTAAAGAGACCTCCTCCTTACATATATTTAAATGCAGTACTTGATTGGCAAATAGGTCTCATCATTTTACTGTTGAAATAGCTCGATGTAACTATAAGTTTTATTCTAATAATTTATTTTTTTCGCCTTTGGAACTTTCTTCTAGTGTCTTGCTTCCCTGCCACCTACAAATCTTCAAAGATTTCCAAGTAAAAGACCATTGAACCCACCTTGTCAAATAAAAAATACATCACCACCAATCCCTAGTGAGAGATTCAGGCCATGTAAATGTAAAGATTCATTTAGAGTCCTCTGTACCCCCCTCCAAAAAAAATCTGAAATGATCCTTCACCCGAACTTAAGACCACCACCCATCCAAAGTGAGAGATTTTGGCCATCGAAATCAAGATTCCTTTTCATAATTTTCACGAAAAACACCATTGAAATTAAGTCAGATTGTATCTTGGTGGCTTTACCACCTTCCATGGGGTGACAACGATTTATGAAAAAAAAAAAAAGGAAAGTCAATCGCCATTTTCAGTCTTCCGGAAATCTGTTCTTCCATTGTCCTTTCTCCTTACTTCTCTACATTAAAGTCCAGTGATTCTCTTTCACTCACAGAAACCCCTTGCATCTTAGTGGCATTATCGCCTTGCTTAAAAGATTAAAAAAATGAAATGATTAAAAATGAATGAATTTGATTTTGTTTTCCGTAATTTTTGGGAGAATTATATTAGCTTTTCGTAAAGTATAAGTGAACAGTCGCATCTGGAATTTGGACATACCAACTGTATACCAGTTTCATTTTTTCTACTGATACGAGCCACCTGTTTCTCTATATAAGAGGTGACACCTAAAAAGATTAGGGAATATGACAATAAAAAAATGTTTTTAATTTAATCAACTCACTCCAAGCAAGACGTTAATGTCGCTAACGAAGAACAGGCTACTGGGTGTGAAAGAGAATGATGTCTTGATAAGTAACCGGAGACCCAATCCTAAATAGGAGACAAGAGATAAACATTTACTCTTGTTCAAAATACCAGGAAAGGAATATGAACCTATCTACTCTTCCTCAAAAGTCTAGTTTCCACCGTCTTCTTCGAAGTACTCCTTTGCCTGCTGATTGTTCACTTACTGATAGAGAGGAGTAAAGTCAAAAGTTTGTACTATCTCCAGCTTTTATCTGAAGGCGCCATATTTAGAAAGAATTATCTTGAAAACAAGAATCAAATTCTTCAAATTCTTTCTCTGACTCATTCTGCCAGTCTTCAATATTTCTATTGACAACTTAATTGATGCCGCATCCTTTTAAAACTTTGGCAAAAGGATGAATATGCAATTAACAGGAATCCGATTGTCATGAACAGACTTCAGTTTTCTCATGAAAAAATATTTTGCTAGTAATAACTTCGTCCGTCGCCCGAGTCACACTCCTTGTCGATATTTTGAACAGAAGTAGAGCTCTATCCCTTGTTGCTTGTTTAGGAGCGGTTTTCCCCGTTCCTTCTAAAATCTGTTAATCATCTTTCATTTCCAGGAGCTCCTTGAGTCTTAGTTGCATTATTGTCTTGCGTGGGGCAAATTGATTAAAAGAAAAAGATTTTTGGTAAAAATGGTACGTGATAATTTCAGTATTATCATTTCTGCGTGTCTTGTGGGCGATAAATTATTCTTCACTCGATAAAATTCGTATTTCCTAAAAAAAAAAAAAAAAAAAAAGAGATTCTCCGGTATGTGTGATATACCACGAGCCATTCACCACAAAACACATATTGATAAACTGCAGCAATTTTAATCTAATCCGTTTAAAATACTACCAAACAAGAAACTTAAAAGACCTTTTTTCAAAATACTGATTCATTTTACATATTTTAGACCCTAAGAGAAATTAAACTGATATAAGAAATGACAAAAACAAAATAACGATAACAGTAGTCTTACTCTTTCAAATAAATGTTTTTGATGTTTTAACTTTTAGCACTCTGAATTATTAATAATAAGCTTCTTTCTGCTGCATTCTTATCCAAGTCCTCTCCATTGCATTATTGTTATACCGTACCTATGAACTATAATGGGTATGTCCCAATCTTTATAAATACAGTGGAATATACTGTCTGGGTCTTCCACATTGTGCTTGTCAAACTCTCTGCCCGGAGGCAGAGAGGTACCCAGACGAGGCTCTGCCGAAGGGTAGAGTCTCGTCTGGTGTGGTAGACAGCTACCCGACCCCGTTTTTACAGGGTCAAGGGGGAATTTTTGGCCGAGCCTACGGGCTCGAATACCCCACAATAAGCTCGGCCTTGTGCCACATCCAACCGCGTGGGGCGGTAGGTGAATATCTTCACTGTGGTCTTCCACAGTGTGCTTGTCAAACTCTCTGTCTTCGGACAGAGAGGAACCCAGAC